TCTTCAAATGTTACAATGGGTGAAATAGCATTTTATACTTCACATTACATCGGAGAAATAAAACAGAATTATTGGTTCCATCAAACATTGTCAAATTTCATCACCTATTTCCCGTTGGGTTAAGACCGGGGGGGGGGGGGTGTTGTGTTGTTCCCAGGCAGAGTTCTTCTTTTCCTAACAGAACAATACACTTTTCTTTTGGAAGCAATGAAGCTGCATGTTGTATCTATATAACTGATATGGTTACAGAGTGCTTACTGTTTTTCATTCTAGTTAGGTTAACTGACATCAGAAACATGCGCAGTTGTAGCTGGCCAGAACGAGCAAGGCCATGGGTAGCATAACTGTGTATCAGCATTTCAGACTTCTTCCCAGCCTGCATTCAAACAACAGTCACAAATGAACCAAAGTTAATACCTGAATACATCCATGATGTTAGAATCATCTGTATTTTGGAAGTGCTAAGCACACCTACTTAGTTAAACCTGTTAGGCAGTGGCAGAGTACAAAGTGGTTCATAAAATGTGAGTACAACAATGTCATGATGCAACCAGGGGCTGCTTTCTTTAAATATTTGAAAGGCAGTCATTTGGAGGAGGGCAAGGAGCTGTTGCAGTTGGCAGCGGAGGAGAGGACCCGAAGCAGCGGGTTTAAATTACATGCAGGAAGTTTTTTCCTGGATATCAGGAAAAACTGTTACACGGTCAGAGTGGTTCAAAGGTGGAATCAGCTGCCTAGAGAGGTGGTGAGCGCCCCTTCACTGACAGCTTTCAAGAAGAGGCTGGACGAACACTTGTCAGAGATTCTTTAGGCTGGTCCCGCATTGGGCAGGGGGTTGGATTAGGTGGTCTGCATGGCCCCTTCCGACTCTGTGATTTTATGATTCTTCTTGTGGCGACTAAGTTTCAAAGGCTGTGTCTCCTGGACTTTACACAATTAGAGGATTCACTCGCACAATAAATTCTCCCCCTTGGCATCCTTTCGTGTTCAACAACTGTATAAACAAGTCAGTGACATCTAATCCATAGAATGTTTGGAACATTATTAACAATGGACATTAGTGTTGAATAACAAAGAAGACGACGTGTTTTTTCAAGAATGGAGTGACTTTAAAATATATCTGAAAAAGAACTGGGATGTGAAACAAAACTTAATATGTTTAGATCAATATTAAGTCAAATGATGTTATCTTTAGATTGTAATGATAAGAAACTGATATTGTTGATGATATGAAGTAATTTGGTGCAGGGGTGGAAGCATTGTGGGAAGCCATTGGAGGGAGGGGAGGAACTGGGAATGGGGTAGACAATTGATAGAATGAAATGATTTAATCGTACATGTTGTATTCCTGAGAAAATAAAAATTTGTTTACCAAAAAAAAAAACAATGGACATTAGTGTCAGAACCCACAGCCAACAACGAAGTACACGCATTCAGGAATGGTTATACTTTTATTGCAGAGCTATAGATGCAGTAACATAGGCACTGTTAAGAATAGCGGCGGCCCCATGGGCATAATAGGATATAGGGTATTCGTATGCACCCACACACACACAGTACTGCCCAATTAGGCGGCCTCCCGCACGCGGGCTAAGGCTTAGAGACCGTTAGGTAGCTAAAGCTGAGAACGAACACTATCCAAGTCACCTAATGAAATCCCAGACACTACAACACTCTCCTGCACATCTGTATAGATAAGCGTTTCGGCACTCAGCAAAAAAAGCACAGAAAGGAATGCAATAGCAATTAACCTGAAAGGAAAGTAATAGCAATTAACCAGACACAGACCAACCTCCCCAACATTCATGGCAGCATAGCTGACAATTAGTCTAGAAAATTGATAAAGAACATAACTATGGATTGGTTTCAGCCAACTTTTTTGTTAAATCTTGCCCGTGTGCATATGCTTTCGAGCCAGAAGTTGCTTTCTCAGAGGACACAAGAGGCCACATTTTAGCAGCTCAACTAGAGACTTCTGTGAGCAGGATAAATGTCAAAACTTAAAATCCCATGGAGCCTTATCGAAAGAGTATTGTGAGTTCCTCTTGTGTTATTCTCTTCACTGGAGTAGAGAACTTACATGCTATTTCATGCACAGAAAGGCTGGGAAAATTGATGAACTATCTTTTATTGGCAATTTGTAGTAGAAAAACCATGTTGTTATTTTTCCTGCAGATTTCTTTTGGGATCCTTGGTCAAGAAGAGATCTAAATGTCTGAAGGCAAAATTCTTACTGATAGTAACCAACATTGCTCTGACAAAATGCTAACATCTTCTTATAGGCCAATCTCTATTTTAAATCATGATTTCAAAATTTTATCTACTATCTTGGCCCTTAGACTAAATAAAATAATCACTAATTATGTGCATGACGACCAAAGTGCAGATTTATGCCAGGCCGTACAATAGCAGACAGTATAAGAAAAACACTTAACATAATAAACCATTGTAAACAAAACAAAATAAATTCAATAATATTATCTACAGATGCCGAAAAGGCCTTCGACAGGGTGGAGCCTAAATACCTACAGGAACTACTTAAAGTTATGAATTTTGGTCCAATATTCCAACAAACAATCAGAGCATTTTATCTTTCCCCGTCCGCACAGATTTGTGTGAACCACTTTAGATCCGACGAAATTTATTTAACAAGGGGCACCAGACAAGGTTGCCCCCTCATTGGAAAAGTTTAATAAAAAATTATTTAAAAAAAAAAGGAAAAAAAAGAAAAAGTTTGCTGCCCTCAGGAATTAATCACTTCCTCCCAGGGGTCGTTTCGTAGAAAAAGAGCTAGGGGAACTCATTAGCATACCTCATTAGCATATGCCACACCCCCTGACATCACCGGAAGTGTGTCATGAGGCCACACCCCCTGCCATCACCGGAAGTGTGTCATAAGGCCACACCCGCCACTCAATTATTCTTAGTCTTAAAGGTTAGTCTTAAAGGTGTTATTTGTTAGTCTTAAAGGTGCTATTTGAACTCTTGGACTATTTTGCAGCAACAGACTAACACAGCTACCTCGGGGAAGCTCCTGGATGGGGCTGGGAGTCCTTGCGGAGGCCACGTGGAGTGGCCTCGGCCAGGCAGAGGGGGAGGATGCCAACTTACCCTCCTGCTTCTTCCTCCTTCTGCAACAGAATGAGGCTGGAAGAAGGGGGCAGCCGGAAGAAGGGGCGGGGCTTCATCGTGTGCCCCGCCCCCTGCACCTCACCCGGGGGAACTGCGATCCCCCGCGATCCCCCCCCGAAATGACCTCTGCTTCCTCCTATTAATATTAAACTAGAAATAGAAAGCAGAATATGAAATTGTGGCTCATTCTGGGGAGGTCAGCATGGTTGTTTAAAAATTAGCTGTGTAAAATAATCTTTGTGACTTTAGCTGAGAAAGCTAAACAGCAAAAGAAGCAAATGCCCAAAGTCTCTTTACAGTTCATTTTATGAAAATTTCTTCCCAACCCCCTTTTCTGTAATATCCAGCGGGTTGAAATACTAGCAATATGTTAATTGATGTTAATTAAGATGTAAAATTTATGGGAATTTTGAAGCCACCGGAGGGAGGGCAGTTTTTGCCTGCCCCCCAGGGAAAAAATTGAAATTCTGGTAAAAATTGAAATATATACAATAGTTACTGTCCCATCAAACCTAAACCAATGTTATTGCTTTTAACTACACAAAATGTATCATTTATAACTTACTTAGCATATAAAATTGCAGTATTTTACATATTTATGGGATTTAAAAGCTTAAATGCCAGTTTTCTAGAAACAGAATTGCAAATATACCCAATGCCTGTCAGAAAACCGCAAGTTGATGCACCGGATGCTACCTTAGGGCAATAAACTCCTTGTTACCTAGTTTGTGGGTATATGTGTCACAGTGGTTTGAAGGAGAGGTGAAACGGTCAACCACAAGGGAAAAGTCAAAAGGACAACAGAAGGCATGCAACAGTTGAGAACCCGTGAAGGCCCTACATACTCCTTTCATGAAGGTTATGTATCCTTCTAGGTGCAGAAATGCATCTTGAGTTTAAGAGCTGTATGTGTCTACGGCATACCCACCATGTCTTTAAAAGCATTTCACTCATTCCAAAAGAGAAAAGATTTCTTAAGAGGGGTGTTTTTTTTTCAGTACTTCCCCAAATTTCCAGTTCTTCTGTTGGCAAAATGGAAAGAAAGAAAAAACCCTTTGGGGAAAAAAATGGGCATTCACATTTCTAGATGATACAGTGAAAGTTAAGGTCCATTTTTTACAAAGTTGGTTCTTTTTCACAATCGTCCGGCTTCCGGCAAGTTTTGCCCAAAGTCTATTAGAAGATTGTTTTATTTGTGGTCATAAATGTTTGTGACTGTGTGTCCCACAACCTTAATTGAAGCTGTACTGTTTTTTATTGCATGTAGTTCCCTTGTGCTTAAAGGCTTCCGAAGAGTAAGCAACATTTTGCATTGGACCTCCTTGTTTTCCCCTCCATGCCTGAGGGAAATGTTGGGACTTCATTCATAAGAGGATTTGCCATATGCTTCCACATAAAAGTCATGTTTTTTTTTTTTAACCTAACACTTTGGGTGGTTTTCAAGTGGTTAAGACGCTGAACTGCAGGCTGTGGAAGGCCGGTAGTTCAGCAGTTCGAGACCCAAGTGTGCCGCATGACAGAGTGAGCTCCCGTCTCTAGTTCCAGCTCCTGCCAACCTAGCAGTTCGAAAGCAAGAGATTGCAAGTAGATAAATAGGTACCGCTTTGGTGGGAAGGTAACAGCATTCCGTGCGCCTTGGTGTTTAGTCATGCCGGCCACATGACCACGGAAACGTCTTTGGACAGCGCTGGCTCTTCAGCTTTGAAACGGAGATGAGCACCGCAACCCTAGAGTCGGACTCGACTGGCTTTCGAGCAAGGGAGCCTTTGCCTTTTTACCTATGAAAATATGTTTTGTCTTTGCAGAGTTTTGTTCATGTAGTGATTCAGGTTTTAATTTGTTTTTCCTGTTTGATATTCATTTGATAGCGAATGATCTGTCGCTCTGTTAAAACAAATCCAGATGACCTAAAGAATCCTATTAAAATTAGTATTCCACGCTATGTCCTTTGTGGGCAAGGAAAGGATGAACACTACGAATATGAAATAAAGGTAAGGTGTGTGGGGTTTAAGAAAAATAGCTACTTTTCCATTTTCATTTCTATGTATGGTGTTTACATTCATGTAAAGTTGTATGTCGCATAGTTTTAACAGGGAAGGGCCTTTCGTTAAAAGAGAATTTGCGGTCATAAAGATAATTCAAAATCTTGTTTTCCAACTTATGTTTGCTTCTTAAATCTATGTTAACATAAGAATGTAAGAACATCAGAAGAGCCCTGCAGGATCATGCCCGTGGTCCATCTAGTCCAACATCCCCATCTCACACAGTGGCCAACCAGTTCCTCTGGAAGGCCAACAACAGGGCATAGAGGCTGAGGCCTTTCCCTGATGTCAACAACATCAGAAGAGCCCTGCTGGGTCAGACCAGTGAAGGTCCATCTAGTCCAGCATCCTGTCTCACACAGCGGCCAGCCGTTTCCTCTGGAGGGCCAACAACAAGACAGAGAGGCCGAGGCCTTCATAAGAACATAAGGAAAGTCCTGTTGGATCAGACCAGTGGTCCATCTAGTCTGGGATCCCATCTCAAACATTGGCCAACCAGTTACTCTGGAGGTCCAACAACAGGTCATAGAGGATGAGACTTTCCCCTGATGTTGACTCCTGGTGGGGATTCAGTGGTTCTCTTTAGGCCCCATGGCTGGTAATAACTGATAAACCTCTCCTCCATGGATCTGTCCAATCCCCCTTTAAAGCTGTCTATGCTTGTGAGCACTGCTACATCTTCTCTCAGCGAATTCCACATTTTAATCATTCATTGTGTAAAAAAAGTATCCTTTGGTTAGTCTTGAATCTACCGTCCATCAACTAAATTGGATATCCTTGAGCTTTAGTATCTCGGAAGAAGGAGGGAAAGTTATCCCTATCCACTCTCTCTCTACCGCGTGCATAATTTTATGACACCTCTATCATGCACCCCCCCAGTCATTAGACAGAGTTCCAGGGTCTTCAGCCTCTACTCATAGAAAAGGTGCTCCAACCCCCTAATCATCTTGGTTACCCTCCTCTGTAATTTTTCCAACTTTGTTTTTTTTTTACTGTCCCGAAGGACAAGATTTTATTAATTTTCCAAACAAACAACACGACATATAACATCTATGAGGGTAAATATAAGAGCTTAACCATCGTAAACACTTCTGTGAAGACTTATACCATACATTGAGTTCCGTAGCTAAAGCTGCATTTTTGAAATTATAAACCAATGTTTACTGTCTTAAGAATATGATCAATAATTTTATTTTATTTATTTATTTTTCGTACTTATACCCCACCCTCCCCAATGGGCTCAGGGCGGCTCACAGAGGCAAGAACAGCTTGCCATGATAAAACAATATATAGTCATTCTGCTTCAGTCTGTTATATCTTTGTGATACCAGCCATAGAATCGTTTCCACGTCTGATCAAATGTGTAATTTGTAGATCCTTTCATCAATAGCGTCAGTTTATCACGCTAAAGTTAATTTTTCCAACTTTGCAATGCTTTTTCGAGATTTGGTGACCAGAACTGCACCGAGTTTCTCATACTTTGGGTCAGTGTCTCTGTGGGAGAAGTACATTGAAGACCAGCTGGATTGGGGCATTTCCTTATGACAGTAGATTATAAATATTTAAGGCTCAGATTTCCCGGTTTTAATGCCCATGATCACTGAGGGAGAAAAGCATAGTTGTACCTCTAGTCAGCTTTATCTGGAGGCGAAGTGGTGGGAAGGAAAGCTATAGGACCTTGGAAGGGGTGTGTGTGTGTGTATGAGAGAGAGAGAGAGAGAGAGAGAGAGAGAGAGAGAGAGAGAACGAACTAGATAGATAATATAGTACCTCTATACCCCAAAGAAGGAGCCGCGGTGGCTCAAGTGGTTAAGACGCTGAACTGCAGGTTGTGGAAGGTCTGTAGTTCAGCAGTTCGAGACCCGAGTTGCCGCATGACGGAGTGAGCTCCCGTCTCTCGTTCCAGCTCCTGCCAACCGAGCAATTCGAAAGCAAGAAATTGCAAATAGATAAATAGGTACCACTTCGGTGGGAAGGGAACAGCGTTCCATGCGCCTTGGTGTTTAGTCAAGCCGGCCGCATGACCACAGAAACATCTTCGGACAGCGCTGGCTCTTCGGCTTTGAAACTGAGATGAGCACCGCAACCCTAAAGTCGGACTTGACTGGCTTTCGAGCAAGGGAACCTTTACCTTATTTTATAGCCCAAAGAGTTTCCTAGGGTGTGATATGAGGTACAAGATCTAGTAAGCTTACAGGGTTTGATCTCATAGAACCTGAGAAACACAGGAAATTACTGTTAATTAATGTGCACAGGAAATTACTGTTAGAAGATTTTCCTGTTTACCCACTGAACCCCTGGTGTGGGTGCAGTTTTTTCTTGAAATCTGTTAACAGTGAATAAATTTACTTCCTGTGCTGGACTAGATGGACCCTTGGTCTGATCCAACAGGGCTCTTCTGATGTTCCTATGAAGACCTTGTCCTCTATGCCCTGCTGTTGGCCCTCCAGAGGAACTGGTTGGCCACTGTGAGAGACAGGATGCTGGACTAGATGGACCACAGGTCTGATCCAGCAGGTTTATTCTTACGTTCTTATACTCTTTCAGTGTACTGAGAATGCAGTGGGTTGTGTTTTCCTTTCGATGCATCCTGCTGCTAATAGTCTAACTGACAATGAAAGCTTATTTTTATCTTCCAGTCTAATTGGATACACTTAGCTATCATAAGCAATGTTCCCTCTAAGCTGTAGAGTCTTGTGAGCAAAAATTCTACTTTGTGAGCTACTAGCATTAAAGTTGTGAGCGAGCGATTTGGCTGCTGCATAAATTAGTTTGCTCTGGAGCCTTCCTTCCTGAGCTAAGACAAAAATGTGTGAGCTGGAGGCTAAAAAACTGTGAGCTAGCTCACACTAACTCAGCTTAGAGGGAACACTGATCATAAGCACCCATATAAATGTACTGATCTGAAACATGTATACTTACAACATTTATAGTGACATATTATCTCCCCCCCCCACCCCCAGATAACAGTCCTCGATGAGACATGGACGGTGTTCAGGCGATACAGTCGCTTTCGGGAAATGCATCAGAGGTTAAAATTAAAATACCCAGAGGTAAGTCACTGGTTATATCACGGCCAAGAGTCTTATTAATCTGTTTCCCCTTTTGCTTCTGTGTCGATTGCGGGAACCGGAGAGCTTTTCCGTTTGCTTTTCAGGAACACGCCATTATTGCATTTTCATGGCAAACAGCCCTTGCTGTGTCTAACAGCTTTATTATTATTATTGCTTTCTTGGGAGGAAGCCGGAGAGGGGTTTTGCTGCGCTATCTTTAGCAAGACGCAGCATGTCTGATTCATTATGAACTTTCTCACAGTTGGGGGCGGGGTTGTGTTTTGTTCTCTCTTTTTTTAACAGCGTCTTTCAAGGTACACAAGTTTTAAAATTTAGCCTTGTGTTTTTTTTTCTTGCTCTCTTCCGAGGTTTTTAAGTAGCAACTCTTTCTACTTTAACTCGACATTAATTGGATTTCCGATGTTTTGTTCTTGTCAGAGAGCACTCCGGTGCAGGGGATCACTGCGAGCTGTACTTTACAGTAAGTACAGTAGGGCTTATATGCCCTCGTGGGAGAGTTTCCAGGCAAGAATTTGCAGTCTTCCCCCCTCCCCCGAGAATCACGCCTTCTTGGACAAATAGGAACCTGGGCACCCGCGATTGTTCTGCGCCTAAGAAGCATCGTGCATTCAGATGAAAAATAGCTGCTTGGAGATTTTCCTAGCCTTTGTTTGACATTTTCTTCACAACCGTCACGAACGTAACTTTGGGGCGTTAGAGAATTATTGCCTGCTTAGGCCTAACTGAACTTGAACTAGTAATCCCTGGTAATTTTCCATCGGGGCTCTTTTGCACATGTTTTATTCACAGGCCGTCCTCTCATTCCCCCTTTTTATTTATATTTTTAATACTATTTTTAAGAGCTACATTCCCTTAAGCTCTGCGGTTGACTGGTTGTATCTTCGCAAATGTAGATGTCACGGTGTATATGGGAAAGGATTTCTTATGTGACACATCTTTAGACAAGCAAAAGGTCGCCAAAGGTCCCAGGTTCAATCCCCGGCATCTCCAGTTAAAAAGGAGCAGGCAGTAGGTGATGTGAAAGTCCTCGGTCTGAGACCCTGGAGAGCCACTGCCGGTCTGAGTAGACAATACATAAGAACCTAAGAGACGCCAATGTTGGATCAGGCCAACGGACCATCCACTCCAACACTCTGTGTCACACAGGGGCCAGAAATACCAGTGCCATCAGGAGGTCCACCAGTGGGGCCAGGACATTAGAAGCCCTCCCACTGTTGACCCCGCCCAAGCACCAAGAAGACAGAGCATCACTTGCCCCAGAGTCCCTATCTATACCTTGTGGCTCATAGCCACTGATGGACCTCTGTTCCATATGCTTATCTAATTCCCTTTTGAAGCCGTCCATGCTTGTAGCCGCCACCACCTCCTGTGGCAGTGAATTCCATGTTTTAATCACTCTTTGGGTGAAGGAGGACTTCCTTTTATCCGTTCTAACCCGACCGCTCATCAATACTGATCTTGATGGTCTGATTCAGTACAGGGCAAGCTTCAAATCTCTTCTTTGCTTTGAAGATAACTTTTAAAAAAAATCTAACCTCTGTGGTCTCAAGCTAAGAGGAATCCAGGTGCAGACTGTAGCTCTGGTCCCGATCTTGGCGTTGCATGCTGTTGCAAATGATACATCCAAAACAGCCCAATTTGGGCAACTCTTCCAGAAACAGACATAAAAACATGAGTCCATTGGCACCACGCTATGTGGTTGTCATAGTATCTTTACCTGTCTTCTGCTCTCATGGAGGAGTTGGTCTACTGTAGCCACTGTAGTGGGGAAAAGGGTCCGTTGAGCTGTTGCACAGATAAGCGTGCAGTGGTGTTTTTCAGCTCCTTCTCCCTCTTTGGCTA